TCTATTTCAAAGTTATCAAGTGCAAAAAGAAGTTTCTTACTTCTGAGTAGAGTTTCAATATAGAGTTGCCAAAAGAAAAGTAATTTATTCCTTTTCATTTTTGAAATGAATTGCTTGGCAAGCCAACACATGTCTTGTTACGCTCCAGAAAAGTCAGAGACCTCACCAAATAAATTGCTGCTGCGTGGGAGATAAGGAGATGGCTTTCCCTCCTTCTCCTTCTTTGTACATTATCACCACGATGTTCACAATACGTAAGTCAAAGCCTAAGCAATCTGACATGTTAGCACTAAGAGAAGTCATGGGGAAAGGTCAGAGGTGACCTTTTATTTTTCCTAATAACCCAAACGTCATAAAAGCTACATGTAAAGTGAGCCCGCAAGAAGAGGTAGTCTGCAGTAGCATATGTTTGGTGTTTGAAATTACAAACCAGTTGCAAAATACAGTGGGATTTTTGCTAAATCGGCACATTATGGTTGTTCTTACCACAGGGGAGAAAATGGGTAACTATGTGAGATGATTGATATGTTAATTTGTTCCACTATAGTAATTATTTGATTATATATATTATATACGGAGGGTGCCAAAAACATGTGTATACATTTTAAGCGAGTCCTCTATGTATTACTTTTCAAAATTAAATGGAACGTACCATTACTGGTCACATGTACCCAGACCTGCTACAAACATCCATTTTACCTGCAATTTGTATACTTTGGGGGAAGGATTGATTTTCCTTTCAATAAGATTTCTTAAAAAGTGTATACATTTTTTTGGGACCCTTAGTATATATTGTATAACATCATGTATATACCTTAAATATATAAAACTTTTTTTTAAAAAATGAGAGCATGTCATTATAAGGAATGACATAGCTTGGCATAGCTGTAGGAATGAAAATCCCTTCTGCTATTGTGTCTGGTCGGGGAACAGGGACAGAAGGCCTGGGAGGACCAGCATCACGGTTGGAGCTCTGTGTAGACGCAGCATCAGTATTCATCACCATAAGTAGATCTGGACTTCAGCATTTATTAAGGAAATATTGTAGCCTCAAGTTAAGTTATCAAATCTTAAGTTTATGACCTCCTGGTTAGTTGTTTCTATGTAGAGGGTAACTAATAGCATGAATTCCACATACATAATTTCTTTTTGTTTTTTTTGAGACAGAGTCTTACTATGTCACCCTTGGTGGACTGCCTTGGCATCACAGCTCACAGCAACCTCAAACTTGTGAGCTTAAGTGATTCTCTTGTCTCAGTCTCCTATGTAGCTGGGACTGCAGGTGCCCACCACAACGCCTGGTTATTTTTTGGTTGTAGTTGTCATTGTTGTTTGGCAGGCCTGGGCCAGGCTCGAACCCTCCAGCTCCAGTGTACGTGGCTGACACCCTAGCCACTGAGCTACAGGTGCCAAGCCCACTTATTCTTTAAAAAATCTGCCGAGCGTTGATTTAACACACATTAATAAGTGCTGACTATGTACTAGGCATCCATCTGAACACTGGAAGTTTAAGATGGCTAAAACATGGTCCCCATTCGGAGGGATATTACATTTAATTGATGGAGATTGGTTTGTAACTGAATTAGCACCTAAGATAAACAACGTAAGAGAGACATATACAAAATGCTTCAGGAACACAGAGAAAAAAGTTACTAACTTTGGGCAGGTTAAGCAAAGCCATCACAGCCATAGTGATACCTTGGGAATAATAAACAGGGAATGAAATATAAATAGATTACAGGGTTAAGGAAGGGACCCGAGGCATTGCTGGCTGGGAGAATCCTGTGCAGGGCAGCCGGGGCCGCAGGCAGGTGCACAGCGAGGGCAGGGAACCTGCTCCGTAGAATCCTCGCACACGGGAGGAGCAGAAGGTGCAGATGGGAAGTTAAGGAGGCTCAGCTTGTGAGGGGCCTGAAGCCAGTGAAGCCTGTTGGTAGAGGCTGTCCTGCCCTTTCTTTGTTCCCTATTCTGATTGGCAACACCGAAGGTGATATTTCGAATATTTAACAAGCATCATGGCACGGATTCAGATTAGTCAGAAGTAGGGGACCCCAGGCCAGCTCCTGTGACAGACTTTTTCCTTGCTGAAGCATGGTGTCAACCAGGGTTCCCAGGAATGAAGCCAGGGTATCAGGGAGGGGACTGAAGGCCACAGTGTTTTACTGTTTAAACAACCAGTACAGCTGCCCTGCCATTCAGCCGGCCAAGAAGAGCAGGGAGCTGTGCTTTAATTTCCTGTCTCCTCTGCATCTGGGCAACAGTGATTTCATCCTCTAAAGGTGTCTTAATTACCTTCTTTTCTCCCCACTGTCAGAGCGAACTCTTTAGAAAGCAGAAGTGATCATTACACTGTCCTGATGAAAACTTTCCATGGAAGAAGTCCAAGGTCCCCACCCTGCCCACCTGACCGTGGCACTCTGGCCCCTGCCGCCTTCTCGTCCTCACTATCCATTCATCATTTCCTGGAGCAGTTTTCACAGTGCCACCAGTGCGCTCAGCGCAGGAGTGTTCTCATGTTTCTGTGTAGGTCTCAGGTAACACGGCTTACCTGTGGCCAGCCGGAAGGCCCTGTGGGCTAGTGAGTGCCTGTGTGCTTCTGCTGAATGTTGATGTATCAGCCTGGCTTACCTTCTTAGCCGTGAGATCAGGTCTTCTGTCTCTTTGTTTGTTTGGGTAATGATTTGGATCAACTCCCGAGTGAGGCAAAGGCGTGGACAGTGGATGTGTCTGACGATGACTGTAGTCAATAACCAAAGACTATAACACAGGAATGACAGATTTTATGCGTGTTAGGGGTAGAATTTGTTACTGAGATCTTTGCATCCACATCTTTGTTATAATGCAGTGCCATGGGCTTATTCTAAATATGAACAGTGCTTTTATGTGATGTTTATAAAATATAATAAGGAGTTAATGTAAATGAAATCACTCCAGAGGTCTATAAAGTACAAGCAGTGTGCTCAGTGCGAAGTTAACACAACTGAAATGATCTCTGCCCTCATGAAGCTTATGGGCCTGCAAGAGAACCAGATAATAATTAGGAAAACTTTCGTCTCTCTGCTTCCCACCCCACTAGTCCAAGCCATCGTCCTTTCTCTCCTGGACTGTGCAGTAGACCCTGGGCAGGTCTCCCCGCTTGCATACAGGACCTCATATCTTCTCTATGCAGCAGCCAGAAAGGACTTTGAAACATCTCAATCAGATCTTGTGCCTATCCTGTGTGAACCCATTCATGACTTTGCATTTAAAGGAGGATAAAAAAATAAAAAAGGAGGATGATTTCTTTCCTTGCTGTCCAAGGTCAAGTTTGACCAGGCCCCTGCCTATAGCTCCAGCCATGAATCATGCCAGTGCACCCCACAGTGCACTGTACCCCACCAGGCCCCACCAGCTCCAGTCACCAGGGCAGCCTCCAGTTCTCTGAACACTGGAGCTCCCTCCCCTCACCAGAACCTGGCTTGTGCTGGGCCGACCCCCATGGTCAGCTGCTTCTCATCCTTAGATCAGCAGTTCTCAGCCTGTGGGTTGTGACCCACAGGAACTGTATTAAAGGGTCGCGGCATTAGGAAGGTTGAGAACCACTGCTTTAGATCTACCTAGAGTTGGTCCCACCACCCATACCACTGTTACCCTTTATCCCAGAGCCTTTCCTAGTACTGAACACAATTTATAATTATCTCTATGTTTGTTTGGGAGACAATTGTCTGAAATTAAGACTTTCTTGTGCAGTTTAGAACTGAGAGGGGAGGATTCGAGTTTGAGGCTTGCAATCCTTTCTTCTGCCTCCTGAGGGTGCCTGATTGGAGTACTAAGGTAGGATTGTGTGGCCACTCGCAAGTGGCAGAGGCGTCTACTCTCCCCACCAGGTTTGGGCAGAATCAATGCTTCTGCAAAATTCCAGAGTTTGTGTTCCGTTGTAAAGCAAACATTTTAAAAATTAGGATGTGTTGCTAAAAGTATAGATAGGGTTAACCATACAGACGGCCAGCCAATCCGAAAATATTCAATAGTTCAGAATAGGCCTGTCTTTGCCAAAGTGCTTGGGTGAAGAGCAGGTGTGAAGATCAACAACAAAAAAAATCAAATACTGAAGTAAAGGAAATCTTAGAATCATAAAGGGGTAACCTGGAGTTAGAAACAAAAGGTCTCAGAGCAAAGCAGGCTTCGTGAGCTCTCAAGACACATGTGCATGGCAGGTGCTATGGGGGGAAGAGGGAGGGAAAGCACGATGATGTCAAGTAGACTGGTCCCTGGAAGGTCAAGTCCAAGACTAGAGTCCATGGCATCCCTCCTCAGTGGACTCTAATGGAGCTGGAGGTGGGAGTTGTTGCCCTGTGGACCCTTTGTTGTGTGATTTCAAAAGGAAAGGGTATGGAGAGCCATCCGATTTCATAAACCTATATATCTGTGTCTAAAAAGTTATGATTTCCTAACCTGGAAATCCCATTACTCAAAAGCCTCTAATTTCCTATTCTAAATTTCTTATTAATCCTTTACTAGAGTTGTACTTCTAGCCAACATAAATAGTTTTTTTTTTGGGGGGGGGGCATCTTGCATTTTCCCTGAGTAGCTGTGCATAGCAGTGTAGAAGCCAAGGAGACAGCTCGGCTCCTGTGGCTCAAATGGCTAAGGCGCCAGCCACATACAACTAAGGTGGCGGGTTCAAATCCAGCCC